TTGGAAAATTTATTTAGACGACTTTGTTAAGTTGGTTCTTCTATCAAATACAAAACTTCAAACATTTAATTGGCGGTTGTAACCTGTTTAAATTCAATAGCATCAATGCAATGTGATGATGATGATGACGAACAAAACATGAATATCATTTCAAATAGTGATAATTCACAATCGATGATACATAATTCTAGAATAGCTAAGGGACAAGCATTAGGGATGTATCGTTCGCTTGGACAACTAGGTCGTGCGGCAGGTCCAATAGTGGCGTGCGGATTATATTGGATGGTAGGATCTGAAAAATGTTACGGGGCTGGTGCTTTTTCAATGTTGGTGATACTTGGAATTGCGATCGCTAAAGTTCCATACATTTCTACTAAGAAACCAAAATCAGAATGAACTTAATATATCATCTGTCTGAAAAATTTCATTTCCATCATATAATAATTCATACTTTTCGATTGGCTATTTATGTTATTCAAAAAAAAAAAAAGTTGCAATTTTTTTAATTATGCAAAGAAGAAACGGTATCAATTAGACAAGTGACATTTATCACATAAAGAAGAATTGCATGGTATTGCACTGTACATATGATATAGACTCGGCATTGTTTTAAGGGTAATCTTTCGTGATAAATGCCACTCCCTTTAGCATTCTAATAGTCTTGAACTTGATATATATGCGTATATTGAGTCTCCTTTAGTAATAATTTTATTATTAATTTATCTAAAGTTACCAATTCATGCTATAAGGGAAAGCTTTATTAATAAAAATTTATATAAATTCATGGTCTTTTTTTAATACTTGCTTTGTTGTGAACTTTTTTTTATGCCTTAATTAAAAAATATCTTGTTGTCATCACATTTTTTACTTGTTTCTAAAAAATTGTCCATATAGGATCAATGTTGGCCTATGACCTGTTATGACCTATTGGCTAATTATGTGTTATGACCATATGACTTGTTATGACATAAAATTTACTATTATATTATGACCACTTCGGTCATATAAAGTTGGATATGACTTAAAATGTCCAACACTGTATAGGATAGGTGCAATAAAAAGGGACAAAATTAACAAAAAATAAGGTTTATGTTTATGTTATAAATCTAGATTAGGTTATACTGAAAAAACGTTCTTGAATTAATTTTGGATAAG